TTAAAAAAGAATTAAATTTAAGTCAACTTTATATCTAACAAAGTAGTAATATTCTTTCTTTCTTTTTTCTTTAGAAAAAAAGAAATAGAGAAGAGAGAATGTGTTATTTGCTTAAGGGATTGGGAAGCATATTACTGCTTTGAAGTTATGATATTTGTTCCTTTTGATTAGAAGAATAAAGCATCGTTTGGGACGGCTTTCTTATTACTTTCTAAAGTTATCTTTTAGTACCAAAATCATTTGAATAATTAGAAATTTTTATACTAAAAAATTACTTTAAAAGATAATAAGAATGCTCTCCCAAACAAAGCCTAAGTATTCATTTGTCACAACTTTTTACTGCTTTATAAAAGTAATATTTAAATATTAATATATAAAAAAATTGTGGTTAAAGCTTAAATTATTAGGCTACATGAATAATCATATAAATATCTCATTTATTATTAAATTTATGTGATGAATTATAATAAAAATTCTTACATAATTAAAAATAGTTAAAAAAATTATAAGTAAAAATAAAATAAAGTTTATATTAAATGAAGGCTGAGAAAAGTCAACTTAATATACTCTGATAGGATAATTATATATAGAATATGGGTCGAACCTGTCAGGATTATTATATCAGTAAATTGAATAGCTAACATTACTCGAAAAAATAAAAAAGATAATTAATTGCTTATGGGTCTTACTGTTAAAAAAATGATATAAATATTTTATAAATAGTTTCATATGTAGCAGCTTGGCGTTTGCCTTGATCTTAACTGGCCATGTGGTTATGGTAGCTAAGTGACCCTTTTAAGGCTTGGTTTTGGGGATAAATTATGTTATGCGGAGCCGGTTGCACAATGTCGTTCAGAGACGAACCAGAATACGTTATTTCAGTGATACCGAGCCACAATAACGAGCGGTACCGAGCTACAGTACTGAGCACAGGGGTAACGTAGCACATTCTGATTGGTCTCCGGAAGGTGATCGGCATCCGCACATAATAATTAATCTCGTTTCGTTTGGGTGAGCTTCTCTATTATTTTTTAATAAAAAAAATTAAAGGAAAAAGTTTTATGCTAATTTTTTTTTAAAATAAAATAATAAAAAAATTGTTCCAAACCAAGCTAAATTCAATAAAGCGGTTTGAAAGGTAGAAAAAAAATAATTGTTAGAATGTACCGTTTCTCAATAGCATAGCTTTGAAATTGTGTCACATATCATTTAAAAATTTAAATTATATGTTTGATTAGTTATCTATTGAAAGCTTTTATGAAAACAAAAAATATATAATCATTTTGAGCACAATATAATAAATTGAAAATAGTTGTGACATAAGATTATAAAATTAGCACCGGTCATTTGTAAGGCAAATAAAAAAATTATATTAGGATATTTAGATACAATTTATATTAGGACGAGCTTGGAAATTATTGGATTGGATTTGTTGAGATTAATGATGTATATGAAGAATTTGTGTTGAACTAATATGAAAAAAATTAATAATCTATAATCTAATTCTGATACAAATTATATGAGAGGATTCTGATAGGTTTTTGTTTTCCGCTATTGCATTATGTGGAAATGTTAAACTAGTCACAAGTCTAAATGATTGTTGAATTTGTAGTATTGATCTTTATCATATCTAAGGGCACGTTAATAACGCTTGATCTGCTGTGGATGACAACATGAAAACTCTGCTATTGATGTTAAATGATTATCATAAAGAGTCACGTAGAGTCAAACATCACGTAGTATTATATTGACAATATAACCTCTTGACAAAGAGGCATGTTTGTAGTGCTTTCTTTGTGAGGCTAGAGATAGCAAGAGAATTAAGGATTATAGGTCAACCAGGTAGCAAAGCTAATAGCCCAAGCTCTATGTGAGTTTTATTGAAAATCAATTAGTAAGTGGTCAAAGTAAGATTAGACCAATTAAGCTGATAACTCCTTTGGGGGAGGTCGAGCTAAATAGAATCAAATGAGCTTAGTGAGAAGCTCTAAGAATGGAGTGAATAGGCAAAAGGGGATCGAGATAGCTTGGAGAGAGTGAGCATCAAAGTTTCCTTTGGGCTAGGAAAATGTTTCCCCCGCCACAATGAGATATTTGTTCAATTTGCTCATATTCTTTCGCCTCTTAGTCTAAATCTTTTTCCTGGCCCATGTGTCCCATCTCTAACATTAATAGACATTATTCTTTTTCATTTTGTTAATTATGTGAAAATGTTAAAGTATTCACAAAGGCTAGATGATTGTTAAGTTCATAGTAACATTTATGACATTCCATATCATGTTAATAATGCTTGGTTTGTTGTGGATGATAATGGGAAAACTATTAGGATTGAAGGGTTATGAAAAAGCATCACGTTGGGTCAAACTCCATGTAGCATTGTATTGATAGGATAGCCTCTTGACAAAGAGGTGGTGTGCCTATAATGCTTTTTTGGTAAAGTTTGAGCAAGAGTTTAGGTCGCAAAGCTACTAGCTCAAGATATGATTGGGTTTATTGAACAACAATAATGAAGTGGTCAAAGTAAGATTAGATTGAGCCGGTAACTCCTTTGAGGGAGATCGCCCAAAGCATAATCAAATGAGCTTAGCGAGGAAGTTCTAAGAATGGTGTGAATAGGCTAAATGGGGGAGAGTTTGGAGTGAGTGAGAATGAAAGCCCTCTTTGAGCCACACAAAAAAAAAAGCTTCCCAACAATGAGATATTTGTTCTATTAGCTTATATTCTCTCACCACTTAATCTAAAAATCTCATTTTCCTGACCCAATGGTTTCCTCTCTAACATTAAGAGGCATTGCTCTTTTTCATTTAGTTAATAATAATAATAATAATGGTGTTGGAATGTTATTTAATTATATATCATATTTTTCTTATATATAATCTCAAATAAATAAATAAATAATGAAAATATTACAGTGATATTCAAAATTAGAAGCAGTTTTCTAATATTCTCCTAACAAAAAAAGTCTTTTAATTGCCTAGTAGAGGAACCATGAAGGGGCAGGGGTGGATCTCACCCTCCTAAACTTGGGATTATAAATAAAAAAATGTAAATTTTGTGCTTGACTAAAGTATGGAAGCTCTAATGATAATTTATCTTATTGTATTGTTATGTGCCATAAAATGCATAGTCACCTTCCAAGATTTATTTGTTTAGCTAAAAGACGAAGATCACTCGAAAATCGAATATGTGTTTAACTTAAATCAAACCCATATTGTCATTAACTAACTAACTAACTAACAAGCTAAGTTCATCTTTGATCGAACTTGAATTGAGCTCAGTACAAATTAGAACAATCTAGCCCAAGATCAAATCAAAATGTATAAGCACATGTCTATGAAAGAGCACACAAATATTTAGGTGTACATTTAAATTTGAAGATACATATCTTAGCAAATAATATGCACATTATGTTAGTAATCCAATAATACAACAACAACAATAAGTCTTCATTTTACTATGTGGGTCAGCTACATGAATACTTTTCGGTCATTGTGTATTATTAAGAGTCAAATTCTCATCTAAATCTAATAAAGAAAGATCATTTCTAATATTTTCTAACAGATTTTTAAAATTTACCTCTATCTTTCTTAATATAAGTCAAATATGATATATCTAAGAACTCACCGGGTCATTGAAAAACCGTTATTTTATATGACCAAATAATCTAAGATGATTCTCTCTAATCTTATTTTTCGTTGTCGATATAAATTCAAAAATAATACTTTAACATATTTAGTCTTTGGATGATGAACAAAATCATTATATCAAAATTAAAAATAAAAAAATCTTCCCCTTTCCCAATGAGATATAAAAAATTCTGCACAGATTTGCATAAACAGTTCAATAACTTTAGTGAATGGATTTTGTAAGAAAAATTTCCCCAAAAAAAAAAAAAGATTTTGTAAGAAATTCACTATCCAATAGCTGTCCCTTCAGTAGTTTTTTTTTTTTTTTGGAAAATGTCCCTTCAGTAGTTATTAAAATGATATTAAAATGTATGGATGAAAAATGAAAGGAGATGAAAAACTGTATTTCACTTAAACTTTAGATGATACATATAGAAATGCATTATATATATATTACTCTTAAAATTTAGGGGTAGTTAAATACTTAACATTCAAATTTTAACTAATTATAAAAATAATTCTCATTTAAATTAATGTTTAAAATTCTCATATATATCGAAATTAATAATGCAATTTTAACACATATTTTCCACTTTTATCAAATTTTGAAGGATTTAATTATGACATGCATAAATACTCAAATTTAATAATTAAAAAATAATATTAATATTTTCTTATGCAATGGCAAGAACATTAAATCTTTATTCCAGTACTAAATTTTCTTTTTAATCTAGTAAAAAAGATAATTTCTAATACTTTAGGATAAAGTCTTTTTTATTTATCTTTATCTTTCTTAATATAAATCATATCTAATATATCTATTCTGCTAACATGGTCATTGGAAATTAAACCGACATTTTATGTGACTAAACCATCTTGGGCGACTCTCTAATCTTATCTGCCACTAGAACTATTCCAATCTTTTCACGTATATACTCGTTTCTCGCTCTATCTCTAAGTGTAAAGTAATTCATCAACATGTCTTAAGTCTTGGATGAAAAAAAAGGGACATCCAACGTAAAATTTATCGAATAATAACAACATGATTTTTTTAATATATTGTGTTAGATTTATTTTATGAGTAAATAAATTTAAATATTATGTACTTAATAAGCTTATTTTTTTTTTTACTGGAGTCGTTATTCTTTTGAAATATTCCGTTCCCCATCAAGTGGTTTATCGCATGGATCATAGCTAAGCTACCAATTCGATCGGTCGTGGCCCCGCCACAATACTCTCGAACCATCAATGCGTTAATTACGGCTTAAACCGCAATTACTTCAACAAAATCATCCAAATTAATTAACTACATTCAAAAAGTGACGACAAAATCCCTTCTCTTCAGTCTCCACTCTCCACCTCCCCCTTCCCATTCTTTATTTATATAAGAAAACCCCTCTTTCTCTCTCTCCTAAACCCACCCTCCTCTCTCATCATCTCTCTTGCATGACTTATACTTCTTCTTTCCCCCCTCCTATGGCCGTTGAAGCACACCATCTTCATCTATTACCCCATCAGCTCCTCATGGACAGGTACTCCATCTCTCGATCTCTTTGGCTTTCTCTTCCTTCCCTTTAAAAATTGTAACTTTCGTAGCTTACCTTCATTTGATTCTGTGTTTATTTGAGAACAGAGAGCTCGTCGCCAAAATAATGGAAGCTCATCAAGCAGGTCTCATGATGCCAATTCCCACAGAAGAGGTGGTTCTCGGAAAGAGGCGACCAAGAGAGCCCTTATTTTTCCTCGGAGAAGAAATCTCTACTGATTTTCAGCAGCAGATGTTCGATCACGACTGTCTTCTCATACATCACGTACGTAATTCTCCTCCCTCTGCTTTGTCTCTGTTCTTCGATTCCTTCTCTAAAAATCCAATCTTTTTTAAAACAGACGCAGCAGATAACATCAGAGCTTGCTGAACAGAGGAAGCGGCTTTCACGGCTTCTTTTAGCAGCCATGGACGATGAAGTGCGAAAGCAGTTGAAGGCAAAGGATGACGAGATTGAGACAGTAAAGAAGCTGAATTGGGCTTTGGAAGAGCGAGTTCGCAGTCTCTCTATGGAGAATCAGATATGGCGCGAGTTAGCACAGACAAATGAAGCTACTGTGAATCTTCTCCGCGCTAATCTAGAGCAGGTTCTTGCCACACAGATCTCTGTAAAGGAAGATGATGATGATCAGAGACTTATCGAACCTGCTGATGATGCAGAGTCGTGTTGTTGTGGCGATAATGAAGGCTTGGATGATATAAGAATGGAGGTTTCAATGCCGTTGAGGATTTGTAGGAGGTGTGGTGGCGGTGAGGCTACTGTGCTTCTGCTTCCCTGCCGCCATCTCTGCCTCTGTGCGTTCTGTAGCCCAAGAACTAACTTTTGCCCCATCTGTAGTTGTGCCACCAGCGGTAGTGTTAATGTAAATTTGTCGTGAATTTTTTATATTTTTGAAAGAAAAAAAAAAAGTAGACCAAGTGAGAAAATTTGGCACTGTGCAAATCCATTCTTTTATCTTTCTTTTGTTGTTTTTATTAATGGGTAATACTTCTGAACATTTGAATTTTCACTCAGCTTATTCTGATCTATTAATTGAGAGTTTTGTCTATTAATTATATATATATGATGCGTATGAATTTGACTTTAAACTCGGACCACTTTGTTTATACTTCTTAAACCAGCTTTCTAGTACAAAATTCTAGAAAGTTGCTTTAAGAAGCACCGAGAAAGCCGTCCCAAACAAAGTCTTAATTTACCTTAATATCACCCCAAAAAAATTAAATTTTTGACTTTGAAAGTCATTAAATTTGGAAAAAAATAGGCTGGAATGTTTTTTTAATTAATTTTTAATAGGATGATTATTAAAAATTTATAACTTAAAATTTTAATTTCCGAAAAAAAAATTATTCTGCTAATTATATATATATATATTATAAAATTTTCATGTTTGGCGATACTTTAATTTTATAGAAATTGTTTTCATTATTTATAAATTTGTTCAAATTTTAATTTATGTAATTATATGCCATTTAACTATAAGAGAAATGTAATTTGCTTTTTTTAAAAAAAAAATTCGTTTTGTTTTCTTGAGAATGAATTAAATAGTTTTGCGACTCATTTCACACCAAAAATTTTTCATATTAAAATTAAAAGTTTAAAATTCATAAGACTGTCAAGAAAGGAAAATTACATTTTAATTTTATTTTACATTTAAACTAAAAATAAAATGTAATTTTAGATTTAAATAGTTTATATAAGCGCCCAAGTGTTATTTTAATTTTAGATTTAAACTAGCTAGTGCATCCTCAATTAGAGAGTTTATTTTTCTTCTGTGAAAAATCATAAAAGAAAGGAAACTTAGTGACCCAGCTCAAATTTAAAAAGGAAAAAAAAAAAAAACTCATGATACATGGCTGATCATGCACGAATTTTGATGCACATTTGAATGGAAACATTCAAAGAAATTTAGGATTTTTGATATTTTTATTTCAACAAATTTATAGTCAAATTGATTGACTCGATGAAACTAAAATATGATTCAGTCTAAATTCAGATAAGGTCGGATCAAAAGATTAAAGCATATATAATTGAAGCACTATCATCACTAACCACCAAAGTCAAATTTTGACCATTGTCAGACCGCCATTATTTCGCCATTTTTGTTAAACAATCATTGCCAGTCCACTATTTTTGGATTATTGTTGCTCTACAATTATCGTCGAACCACCGCCATTCTCGAAACACCAATTTCGAATCGTTATCACTCGACCACCACTGCCACCAAACCACCGCCACCCAATCTTCGTTATTCAGTCATCACCTTATCAATATTGTTGGACCATTGTCACTCAATCATAACCGTTTGAATGCTTTTCATCCCATATCTAACCCGTAATATTTTTATACTAAAAAATTATTTTAAAAAGCAAAAAGAAAACCGTCGGAAAGAAAACCTTAGTTATAAGTTTTATAAGTTTATAAAATAAATCTTACAATTTTGAATTGTCAAAGAGACGACACCAATACAAAATCCCACTAAGTAAACAGAGAGAAGATGATGACGACAAGGACATGTGGACATGGATGATGGTGATGAGCTACAGGTGAGACTGAGACAGGCGATGGCAACGATCAACATTGAACTGAGCAGGTGGCAAAAGCATGAAAAATAACGTCGTTATATAAGCTAGCGCCTCTACTTCCAAACGTAGCGCTCTATTCAAAGCTCAAAGCCGGAGTGCGTAAGCAAAGAAATCGAATGTGCTTGTCCTGTTGTACTCCCAGAGCTTGATCCTATCTTACCATTCTCTCATTCGAACTCCCATCCCGGTCTTTCTTTATATGCCTAAAAGTGTTCTTTCGGACTCGGCTTGAACAATAAGTGTTTCTGGATTCAGTGGTCCGCCATTGTCGGCAAGGTACTGATAATTGAAGTCGGCGTTGGATAGCAGAGACGTACAGAGATGACTATTCCTACCTCTGAATCACATAGGCACAGCGATTTCTGTTGTTGAAACTTACTGCTATGTGCTCTCATTTTCAGAAGTTTATTTTAGCACATGACTAGGCGTGTAAATTTTTTATTTTTGACCCGATCCGAAATTAAATTTGAACTTGATCAGGAAAAATCCAGATTCCGATCGACTCGTTAATGAAACGGGTCATATTTGAGTTCAATAAATCAAACTGTTTCAAAAATCGGGTCGGGTTCATGTTAACCTGAGAATCTGAAAATGATCCGGAAACGGACCCTGCCCGCGTCGAGTGCCTGGCTGCCCGCGTTGCCCGACGCATCAAGTCGAATCGCATCGCTTCGGCATTCGCGGGCAGCCAGGAACTCGACGCAGGCAGGGCCCGTTTCCGGATCATTTTCAAATTCTTAGGTCAACCTGAACATCGCTTCTGCATGCGCGACGCGTTCCAGCTGCTGCCTGGTCCGCCTGTCGCTATGCGTCGCTTCGGGCTTCAGCATTCGCATCGCATCGGCATTCGCGAGCAGCCAGGCACTCGAAGCGGGCAAGGCCCGTTTCCGGATCATTTTCAAATTCTCAGGTCAACCTGAATTACATTCACGACCTGTTCCAGTTGCCGCCTGCGCTATGCGTCGCTTCGGGCTTCAGCATTCGCGACGCGTACACACTACGCCGCTACCGCCGTGTTACTGCTGCCGCAGACCAAATTTTGTAAAATCGGGTCGGATCGGGTCATCTCGGCAACCCGCGTGGGTCTGGTCCGACCCGTTTGCAAAAAAACATGTCGGGTTCTAGTTGACCTGTTTAGAACCAAGTCAACTCGGGTTCGACCCGAACCCGACCCGTCGAACCGAATTGACACCCCTACATATGATTATGACAAGTTTAAGGCTTCATTTGATACTGATGTCTTAATACTTTTTAAAAGTAATTTCTTAATATAAAAAAATTTTTATTCAAAAATAATAGTAAAAAATCATCTTAAAAAAGAGTAAGAAAATTCTCCAAATGAAGCCTAGGGGTTTAGTCCTTCTAGTCTCATTTTAGATATGGGATTAATTTCTCGTCTCATATGGATCTTTATAATATCTCCCTCATAAGAAGCGGAACATTAAGGGCCGAATAATAGCTCATTGTGCTAGTGAATGGATACTTATTAACCCAAAAGATTAAGCTAATGAGCAAGAGATGCCACTAATAACATATCAATAAACTAACTTTTATTTTATTTTTATTTAGACTATCTTCACTCTCATGACAATGGATATATCAAAAGCATATTAACAAATGTGTCTTAGGCTTCAATTGTGATAATTTTTTTTTAATTATTTTTAAAGTAGTTTTTGAGTAAAAAGATTTTTATTTCAAGAAATTTTTGTACTGAAAAGCTGCTTTAGAAAGTAGCCAAAAAAGTTGTTCCAAAATTAAGAACAACATCTTCAATGATGATGTAGGAACCTATTTTTGATGGATCTATATTGAGCGTCAACATTAGATGCAACAAGCTAGTACTCAGGGGCGAATAGGGAGTGGTCAAATGGACGGCCGATATTGAATCCTATGACCGTTCACCGTTCGTTGGCCATTTGGAGGCCTTAGTGATGTCGAAATTCTGTGATCTTGGGCTCGTTGGATTCGTCTCGTCGAGCCCTTCGATTCGAGTATAAGCTCGTCAAAATCGGAGTCCGTTTGGTAACTCAAATTGAAGTTTGAACCTTCCAACAGCACTTTGAGCCCTTGATTCAGACTCATTTGGGCTCGTATTGGGTCGATCTTGGTGTCGTTGGGTTCGTATTTCCGAGACGCTCAGTTCGACTATAAGGTTGCTGAAATCGGAGTTCGGGTGCGCTTGGAATTAATTTTTGAAGTTTCCAACTAGCTTTTGCCTCGAGATTCGTGCTCGATCAAGATAATTTTTGTGATGCCGTATCAAGTATAAAATAAATACATCAAATAATTTTTTGTGCATATTTTTAAGAAAAAAATCAGCTTTAAGCTACGACGATTTTATTCGATGATGAATGCAGCAATGATAGCAGGATGTGATAACAATGTGGTAATGACTATTATTGGTGGGTGATCATGGTGGCTAATGGTAGGGCGGTGGCAACAAATCGACAGGGGGTGGAGTGGGGTACTTAATGGTACTCAATTACGAGCAACAACCAACTAATGATAGGCTGATGATAACATTGGCGACATAAGGTGGCTCGAGTGAGAGTGTGAAGCTTCATAACTGCAATATATTTGAAATTAACTCAAATTGTATGATTTTCAAATAAAATAATAAATTACTTTGCATTAATTTTTCATCTAACAAAGAAGAACTCACACCCTGTTCATTCTTTACTCTGACTACTTTTCACAAACCTAACACCCTCTTAGTCTTTCTACAAATTTAACTTAGTAAAACCCTTTATAATAAAGTAATTATTTTAAATTATCAAATATGTTAGGAATAATAAATACACCTTTTAACATCTAATCATAATTAAGATTTTGTTTGGGATAGCTTTATTATTACTTTTTGAAATTATTATCTATACTAAAAATTATTTTAAAAATTAGTAAAAAAATTATCTCAAATGAAATTTAAATGGTACAAAACCAAATAGCTTTTAGTATTTAAATACAACTTTTAACTATTTATTATACCACACATTATTCCTACTAAATTTCAAGTCTTAAGTCAATCAAATTTTATAATAGATAATGAAAGAAGTGTGAAAATAAAAAATAAAAATAAAAAAATTGGATAATCAAAGGGCTAAATTGAAAAATAAATCTCAATCTCACCTAATTAAGAGAAGACAGCTTCCTCAGATCTCTCACATTGATGAGCCTAAATGATTGTACCTTATTTATGTAGGCAATGAGGTCATGTGAGTGAATATCTAAAGGCCCAGTAGTAGGGCCCACCTGATGTTTCTGCACAAGGGACACGATTGCCAGCCTAACAAGTAGGGCCCACATCTGGGCCCACAAGAACTCGATAATGAACAAGAGAAAGGTGGCTTTCATCTCATTGGGTACTCTTTTGTCCTTATTAGGACTGATGTAGCTCTTTTGATCCAAAGCTCCATAATGAATATAAAAATGATTAATGAGTACAAGGT